AAATAAAATCCTCCCAGCAGTAGCAGTGCAACTGAAGTCAAGGCCCAGATTTGCCCTATTTGAAATTCCTACCACATTAAGTGGTCTTTACCTGGATGGTTATTCCATAAAACCAGATATTTTGGGGTTTGTGAGTAGCCTTGTGTTCAGCTGGGCCTCAAAATTATGCCCTTGAAAACACCGAGAAAGCACTTTCAAACCACACTCTTGATTTTTCAAAGGGAAGCCTGAAATCAACATCACACACAAGGATCAACAGGAGGGGTTTGCAGTCCCAAAAAATCCTTACTCCCAAGAGTAAGTACTCCTGGAAAAGACTTACTCACATCAGGGGTGATGAACCTCACGTGGAGAGTGAAACAGGCTCATCCTTCCCCCACACATCCTCGTTTCCTGGGTTGTTTTCAGCCACATCAGAGAACCCCTCGCGCTTCCAAAGCCTTTCCATTCCCAATTTATTATGGCTGTACAACTGCACCAATGCAAAAGACGGACAAACTCCGGGAGACACCTTTCTCAGGGTCACCACCTCATGTGGGCATCGAGCTTCCTGCTGGAGCTCACGGGATCACGGGGCCACAAACTGCAGCAGAAAAGCAAACTGCACTGTCTGGGCAGACTGCATGCAAACCACAGGCCTGATCTTTAGCAACGGTCGAAATAAAAAATGGCAACTGTGTTATACTTTAATATCCTCAGAGCATTGCCAGACGTCTAAAAATGAAATCACGGGTTAGCCCAACAGCCAGAGGCCTCAGCGCAACAAAACTCGTGCAAGATCTCCCATACAGGAGATACCTTCAGCAAAACAAAGGCTGAAATTCTACTACTAGATTTACTAATCTTACTCTCATGCTTTCTCCTCAACAGTTTTCTCTAATTCTGTGTTTGCACCATCTGTCACCTCTGAACTCTACTGCAATGCAAAGCAGTAAGCAAGGAATAACAATAAATATATGATTAATTTGCTTAAGCAGAAGAAGGGGAATTTGTTCTCTGTCGCTTGCTACTGACATTTTGGTCCTTAATAACATTTTGTAACTTCAACACCTGTGATAAGAAATTGATATGGTGAGTTTTTACCTCTCACTGTCAGCTTTCTGTGAAAAGTGAGAGCAATTTGCTCCCACGGTTCTTCTCTCAAATTAAGTTTACAGTGAAGTAACACCTCATGCCACATTCAACATGCTCACAATGCCTCCCTTGAAGAGCAATAAACTTGTAAAATCTCACCTCAAGCAAAAGTTTAACATTTGTCATATTTAATCAGCAATAAAGTCAGACATCTAATTCTTCACAATTTATCCTTCACCGACACTATGTCATTTCCAAGCTGAAACGTGGAAAAAATTTTGACATTTGCAGGCAGCGTGGCAGAAAGGCAGCCTGCCATGTTATCACAGTAATTTATGTTCTAAAATTCCTGCGAGTCCAACGTGAAAATAACATCTCCACCACTCCAGCCCTTAGTTTAGACAACTCCAGTGTTACTGGATGTGACATGCCCCGGACCAGAAATCACCTTAAACCGACACCAACAGTCCCCGGAGCTGACAAACACAAGTTGCTCAAACCCGCCGTGTGCTTCATTTTCTGTTCTGGTGAGCCATGTTTGGAACAGGAAAAGGGGGTCAGATCTGGGAGTAGAAGAGATTAAACTGCAATTTTGTTTTCCTCATTTTCGGGCTCGCCTCTAGTATCAATCTCAGCCTGCTCTAAATTACGTCCAGCTGTCTACTGCCCCCAGGGACAATTCTAGCAGCCAGAATTAGTTGGGAGTGCAGTGACATTTTAACCACACACAGTTTTCCTTCAGCCTACCTATCCCTGGGTTTTTGAGGACAATGGGGGGTGGCAACACATCCTGCCAGGAAGAAAAAATGGGAACGTTTAGGTCATAAACACATTCGAGTTAAAGAATTTATGAAAACTGTGGGGTTTTAAGAAAGCAAAGACTGAGATGTGACAGAGAGTTCACTGGAGCGGTAGGGAATAGAGCACACCACTTCCAGAAGGAGCCAAACCCATGGAAAAAAAAGGCAAAATTAGGGACCAGCCTTACAGGGCTGTTTCAAATGTCAGTGCCTGCTGTAAGGGTTGGCCTCAGCCATGCCATGATGGATGGCCATGGAAGGATGGATGGTCTGGCCACGCCGTCATCCTCAGACATCTCAGAGATGTAAATAAGCTGTTCTCCCGCTGAGCAGCTCTTCACATACCTCACACTCCCAGCAGCACTTCCAAGGGTCTGCATTCCGCCATCCTACAGCAGGCAAACCTCCAGCTGCCTCGGTAGGACACATCTGAACTACCAAACCATGAACCCAGTCGGTCTCCCACCTCCATTTAAAGGGCTGAGAGCCATCCTTTGGCAGGACAGGGCATTCCATCAAAGGTAAAACACTGTCTGAAGGCAAGTGAAGAGGATCCCTGCTCAGACACTGCTCATACATCCTCCAAAATGAGCTTTCTGCCCTTCTCTGCTTTGCTCTTTCCAGACTGAAAACAAACAACTGTCCTGTGACACAATGTTTCCCTATCTGGTAGATTAAGACTAAACTTTTAAATATTTTGACTTAATTCAGAACCCAACAAGTTAAATTCTGTTCTCTTTGTGTGGCAGATATGACAGTGCATTCAAAATTCACTAAGTGGTGCTGCCAGTAGATAAAAGCATTATTATGCATTCTGTTTTCTATAAGCAAGAAACAGTAAAGTTTCAATACATATATATATATATCATCATCATATATATGCACATCACAAATATGAATCCAATTTACACAAACAGAAGTTAATAACTTAGAGCCAATCTAATACTTCAAAGTTGTATTTCTAAATCATGACATAGAGGCTTTAAGGGGATCATTTTGGAGCAGGAGGAGACATATCAAAAGAGAGTTTATTAAACATGTTGCCATATGAAAGTACATGTAAAATGACCTAAAACATAGTTAACCTAAATTTTCTCTACTACACTACCTTGTTGCTTCTGTACTTTAATTACCAGTGAGGTATGTGGACTGTAAGTACATTTTTAGGAGTCCCACTTACCTGTAAAACTGCAGTGAGAGAGGGAAAATCCTGTCTTCTCTCATAACTACCTAAAAAATAGAAAATAGGCAACATACAGCTAAAAGTATTCTGAAATACCAGCTTGGTTCATTCTAAAACAGGTAAGACAGTCAACTGTTGGATTCAGAGACAAAATTAATGAGCACTGTATGGTCATCCATAATGGAACCAATGTTTTATGTAACATCAACTATAATTTAATGTTAAGAATTGAAGGGATTGGATAGGAAAGGTATTCTCTAGGCCAGCAGTGCCAGAGGTCTGCAGCCTAATGAGACATTTTTTCAGGAGATTTCAAGTTCTCCAGGCCCTTCAAGGTCAAATTAAGGAGGTAAAAACATTTTTTAAAACTAGAGACCACATGTTCGACTAGGGGAACAGAATAGAGCTGCACTAACCATACCACAGGGCCCCCAGGAGCAAAGTTGGGGAATTAAACAAAGATCCAGCTTATCCCTCTGTAGAAAGAGTTCCTGGACACCTTCTCCTCACCAAAACCCACTAAAGCTTCTAAATCCCAGCAATTCCCCCTTGTCCTCTATTCTTTCCAGGAACTTTCCCACCGGGTAGGGAAATAACAGCATTTAATACACAGAAGAGGTTTTTAGGAGAGCTGATTGCTGAACTTAGGTGATGTCTGTGGAACAGTCATTCCCGTGAGAAGGGCTCCTCGTGGCTTTTATTTACGGAATATAAAACGTGCATGAAAATACTTCAGTCTCGCTATTTTAAACTTCCAGGGGAAGTCTTGATTAAATATTATGGAACTTTTATCCACATAAAGGGTTGTAAAGCATTAGGAACAAGCTGCCCAGGGCAGTAATGGAGTCACTATCCCTGGATGTGTCCAAGAACGTGTGGCTGTGGCACCTGAGGACAGGAATACTGGAAATAGGTCCTGCTTGCAACCAAGTGCCAGGGTAAGAGATTTAAAGGCCTTTTTTAAGGTTTTTTTCTTTTAAATGTGCTCGTTTTCAGCCTTTGGTTTACGCGACGCACGTCATGGAAGGAGTGACAATTACATCGGCCTGGGCTGGGGGACAAAACCGCGTTTTCACGCCTGATTACAGCGCCAATGGCGAACTTCACGCCCTTAAAAGTTTTGGGGTTTTTTTTCCCCAAAACGGTTTTTGGACTCACGAGAGCGCCCAAAACGACGGATGTCCCACGGAGACACCCCCGAGACCCCCAGGGCTGGGCTGTCCCCTCACGGCTGCCCGCGCCCCGCCCCGCCGCGCGCTCCCCTCACGGCCCCAACATGGCGGCGGGGCCGCACCTGCCCCGCTCGCGGCCGCCCCGCCCCGCCGCGGCCCCGCGGGGCCGGCAGGGGGCGTGCGGGGCTCCGGCGGGACAGCGCCGCTTCTATTTAGCGCGGGGCTGGCGCCGGGGCACGCACCGACCCTCGGGGGCCGCCGGCACCGCACCGCGCCGGCACAGCACCGCACCGCACCGCACCGCACCGCACCGCACCGCACGGCGAGCGGCCGCCGGCACCGGCACGGGGAGGAGGAGGACGAGCGGCTGCCGGCACCGCACCGGGGCAAGGACAGCGAGCGGCCGCCGGCATCGCGCCGGCGCCAGCACCGCGGGAAGGACAGCGAGCGGCCGCCGGCACCGCACCGGCACCGCACGGGCAGCGGCGAGAGGAGAGCGAGCGGCGCCGGCCCCGCAGCGGAGCCCGCGCACACGGCAGCGACCGCCGCCCGCCCGGCCCCGCCGCAGGTACGAGCGGGTCCGGCAGAGCCCGGCAGGTGCCCGGCGTGTCCCCCCACCCCCGCATTGCTTTGACCGAAAAATCGCTTTTCCGCCCCAAAGCGTGCGCCGGCGGGGCAGTGCCGCTGCCCGCGCCTCGCCCGGCGCCGCTCCCGCTTCGGTGCGGCGTCAAGCGCCGGGATGTTTTAAAACTCCGTGGACTGGTTATTTCCGCCCCCCCTCTCCCGGCTGGATAAAACCCCCGGGCTGGGAAGGGCGGCCGAGCCTCCCCGTCTCCTCGCGGGAGCGCCCGGCCGCCTCTCCCAGGTAGGGGCTGGGTGGGCGCCCCGCTCCCAGCCCGCTCCCGGGGGTGCCGCTGCCTCCCCCGGCGATGGAGACCGCCGAGAGCACTCCCGTTTGATTTGTGTTTCCTCTCTTTCAAGGTTCACGATGTTGACAGCTATGTTCTTGGCTGCTCTCGTTCTCATTACAGTACATTCGCAGGAAACTGAGGAAACCATAACGTACACGGTAAGGTTTAATAGAGTCGGAACTGATTACTGCTTTTGAGGAGATTCTTTTCTAAATGACCCTTAGGAAAAACCGAATTTCTTGCCAGCGTATAGCGTGTGCTGCAGAGGTCGTGGAGTTCGGATGTTAACCATAAAATAAGCCGTTCCTGCCCTGAAACACCGTTTAAAAGTTGACAGGACTGAGCAAAATAGGCTTCGACTGCCTGCTCCGAAAAGTTTAGCTATGTACTCAGCTTGAGGGACTGAACAAAATTAGGAGGTTCTAATATTGTTTTAATCCATTTTCATAAAGACAGGGTCCCTAGGACCTTCCCTTGAAATATATGGAATTTGACAGATGATTAGGTCGAACATTCTTTAGTGTTTTCTTAAGGTTATTTCAAGCTGCTTTTAACAAAATGTAAGTGCTTCCAAATTCGGGGCTCTTAATGAAGCATCTGAGTCCTGCAGTGATCACGGGACTGTTCATTTCTGAGCTGCTTCTGAGCACTGGTTTTGCATGGCTTGATAAAATCGTACAGGAGTGCTGGAAATAGGTCCTGCTTGCAACCAAGTGCCAGGGTAAGAGATTTAAAGGCGTTTTTAAAGGGTTTTTTCTTTTAAATGTGCTCGTGTTCAGCCTTTGGCTTGCATAATGCATGTCATGGAAGGAGTGACAATTACCTCGGCTTGGGCTGGGGAAAAAACCCACATTTTCACATCTGATTACAGTTGTAATCCCTGCAACTTGCTTCATATGGGTGGACCTCTGGATGTGTGCACAGACATCAGCAATGCCACACAAGCAGAAAATTCTGCACACATGCAAAAAGTTAGAGAACCACAGCCAAAGCCTGAGATTGGGACTTACACAAGTAATCCCACTGAAGTCAGTGGGATGGCTCCAGCAAGTAAATATTGCAGAGTTGGACCTTCTGGTAGAAGTCAGGGCTTAAAGAAGCCTCAAGTGAGCATCAGGAAGTCAGTCATAAAATACTTTAACACCGGGCTTTAGGAGCATTAGGGATTTGAAGGCTGGGAGTACTTTTGTTCAGAGGCTTCTGTGATTTACTTTTTTTTCCAAGTCCCTATGTGTAAGTGGAAACTGAAGATCTAAGTATCTTTTGAAAATCCAGACTAAACAGGGATCCCCCCCTCCTCCTTTTCTGCATTTATTACATGTTCCTTTTTAAAAATAAAGTAGCATTTTTTGATAAGCCTCCATAATTCTGATTATGCCAATTGAAAGTTTGTAGCAGGTCTATATAACTTGGGTACCTATGCTTCATTTCCAAAGAGTTCTTAACATTTAGGTGCTTCGATGATCATTAGACTTCCAGCCGTGCAAGATGAAACAAAAAGCTTAGCTTTGGGAGCTTTGACTCTTGGGATGCTACTGTTTCTCATGCAAACATTGTATTCACTTAGGGCCAAATCCTTTGCTATTGTACAAGTGCCTTGGGCTGCAGTAATAGATGGACTTGGCTCCTTGCAGTTAAACACACAGTACTTCTGTTGTGCATTAACAGGAATGGGGTGATTCAGTAAATGCATGAATTAGCTGTTTTCCCTCGGGTCTGCGTTTTCATAGCTACAGCAACTTTGGTGTTGTCAACTCAGCATGTAGTCATTCCTTTAGGGAATGTCCACTTACCCCTCTGGGAGAAAGAGCCTTCAAAGTTCCAGCTCGCTGCCAAGTCGCTGGTGTCACCTGCAAGGCAAGAGAACATTTTCAGTCCCACTGCTGAGTCAGTAACGAGTTCCTCAAAATAACTTGAGGAGAGTACGTGGAACACGTGCATCTTGGCATCAGAAGGTCAAGTTTGTCACTTGTAAGTCCCTGAGCAGCAGAGGAGTAGCAACAAGATCGAGCTTGCTTGGCTGTGACTAATTCCATTAGCCGACTCAATTCTTTTGTTGTATGGGGCCATTAAACCAATATCCTGAGCAGCACAGGATGCACCCACACAGCACAGCCCCGTTGATTCACTGAGAGTTTCATGTTTTAAATGTTTCTGCTGCGGTTGGTAGCACCGGGATACTTTGCTACTCAGTGTCTGCAACTGCGATCTGTGATTAAAATGACTTTGCTCTAGACAATGTAGTGGTTTTGGGCAGAGGGATAACGAAGATGCGGGGCAGAATATTTAAAATTATTGCTGAACTTGCTAGTCTGCACTGATATGAGGAGTTGCCGAGCATTGTCTTGTTTGAATTTTGCAAAGTCTTGTGTAAATAAGTAGTCCTGCTGTTATAAACTCTAACGGTTTATTGTGTGTCTCACAATATAAATTGTCCTTCCCCGACGGCAGTCCCTGGAGTCATGTGATTAAAAAGCATGTGAATGAATTCCCAGCCGTCATGGGAGCCCTCCCCATTGCTAGAGTGCTAAAGGGAGAGAGGATGAAGGCCAGGGGCACAGAGCCCCCCCAGGCCCTGGGAACGAATCATGTTCACCTGTTGGAAGGCTGTGTGAACAAGACCAAAATTCAGAAAAACCTGCTGGTTTTGTTCCTGAGAAGATTTTCGTACTGGTCAGCTGAGTCAAGCCAAAGGACAGATGCTTTAAGACAGTGTATGAGAACAGGGCAAGGAGAAAATGATGCTTTGCTCACTTTGTTCTCCAGCCCCGGTAAAACCATCCTACAACAAACAATACCTTGGGAACTTCCCGAGACAGAGCCTCTCTCTGTACATTATAGAATATTCCAAGTTGGAAGAGACCCAGACTTGTTGTTCATGCAAAACCCAGTGCTGTACCCATAGCTATTACCCACAGCCATTTTTCCAGCTTACCAAGGTGTGCAAACATTGCTTTTCCCTCAGTGCCAAACTGTGAGCTCACTGAATACACTCGATTATTCTTCCAAAACGAAGAATCCCGAGCAGCCTAATTTCTTTGTCTCTTTTCTCTTTCTCTGCAGCAATGCACGGATGGCTACGAGTGGGACCCCGTTAGGCAACGGTGCAAAGGTACAGTGACTCATTCTCGCAGACAGACTCGCCACCGGTATTGTTTCAGCACTGTCGTTGCACCCCCTGTTTTGGGCAGGGAGGGCTGTGCGCACATCTGGTTGTTTTGTTTGTATTGTGGCTGTTGCAGGAGGTCCGCCTGTTAAAAGCATGCCTTGTGTTGTTGCTAACCACAGATATTGATGAATGTGAAATAGTCCCAGATGCATGTAAAGGTGGGATGAAATGTGTTAACCACTATGGAGGATACCTCTGTCTACCCAGAACGGCCCAAATTATTGTAAATGAGCGGGAAGAGGCAGCGGCCGAATCCACCAGCGGTCGGAACAACGTGATCCGCCGGACCCCGGCCGACCCCCAGCGAGCCCCCCCAAACCCAACCCACCAAATCCAGTGCGCGGCTGGGTACGAGCAGAGCGACCACAACGTGTGCCAAGGTAAGGCTGAGTTTGGGAATGGTCAGAGTGTGGGGGACAACAATCCACTGCCTGGGCGGTGACAGCCTGGAATCTCCTGTTGACTGGAAGGGGTTGTTCTCCATTGAACTGGACATGTGTGCACGCTGGAGATGTGTGAAATAAATCACAGGCATGGCGTTGAGCAAGGAACAGACCGTGCAGCTCAGTGCAGCCTTACAGTCTGTTCCATCTATTCAGAATTAATTCTGTTGTCTGTAGCTCCTAAGAAAAAAAAAAACCCTCAGGGCAACTCTAGTCCAGCATTTTGTGTTGTACTAAGTATGTCAAGGAGAGGCAGTGCTGTGAAAAAAGCGGGCAAGACAGCAAGTCAGAAACAGCTCCTAAAGGTTTGCAGAACTCTGTGTTTTTCAATAACTAAATGCTGAATGGGACAAAAAATAACCACTGGGTGAACGTCTGCTTAGAGCAGACTGCAGTGCAGGAGGGTCCAATGCTTTCATCCTGGATCAGGAATACTTCTCCAGTGGTAGGAACCAAACATCTGAATAGCTCTGTGCTCTCGTGATCCCTGTGGAAGTAGCTCTAGGCAGACCCTGCCAGGTTGCTTCTAGTCATAGCCTGGCCACTCTTTGAAACTATGGCAATGAAGAGCTTTCATCTGAGTGTACATACACCACACACAGTGCCAAAAATTCTCAGGGCATTAGCAATGTTAATTGTATGCATTCAGCAACCAGACTCACAAGCACTACTGTAAACTAAGACTCTTTCATTTATTATTTCATATAAATAGTTTACTCTTCTACTTGCTGAAGTAACAAATGTTTCGTCCACTGTTTTGTTTTCTTTCATAAAAATATATTCTACTCCTTGGTCCCAAACTTGCTTTTCAAGCACATTAGTGGGATACCCCTGAAAACAGAGGGCAAAACTTGACCTCATGGTTCATCTTTTCCACTTTGTGGCCTGTAACAGTATAATCACATAAAATAGTACTTGAGTGACTATAATCAGGGCAAGCTGTAATGTACAGTGGTAGTTTCCTTCTCCCTGGTATTCGTGTACACAGAACGTTATTTATCACTAGTAAGTAAATTCCCTGTCATTCTGGAGCACAGTAATCATCGTGGAGAAGTTATTTTTGTAGGCAAAGCCTCAGAGTTGCATTTCTGGCTTATCTGCCCACGTTCAACGTTTTCTGTCACCCCAATTCAAGAATGTCAGGCACAGAACAAGCAGGAGGTCAATGCTGTGATCCCCTCAACCCTGGGCATTCACTTGGGGTTATCAAGAGAAAATCAGAGCTAAGGATGGAAAATGACTTTTTTTTTTTTTTTCTTAGTTTAACTTGGCAAAGTAGGGGCAGAACCAGGAGCAGAACTCCTGGGTTGGGCTGGCACTCCCTCCTTCAGGTGATGCTCCTGGCACTCCTCCTCCCTGGTGAATCACAATAAACTGCTCCAGCTTTAGCACAAAACATTTTGGTCTGATTAAAAAATGCGAGAAATGCTAGAAAACTTCCAGACATGACCATCCCTTTTGCTGCCCTGGCTTTAGGGGTATAAATTTGGGATAGAGTAGGGGAGACTAACAGCATGTTAAATACCTCGTATTCCAAATAAAGGTTGGGAGTTAGAGACCAACAACTGGTTGAGGTTTCTGTTTTGGTGAGGAGAAGATTGGTGGTGATGCATTACTATTACTTTACTGAGACTTGCAACTAAATATTTCTACTCAATTCACAATCTCTGGTTAATTTATAACAAGTAACTGTTGTTACAGCACCAGAACATTGTAACCCAAGCACACAAACTGTGCTGAAATCTTGGGCTTGACTGAATCAAGAGCTTTGCTACTCATTTCCTCATGCCAGGATTTCAATCTAAATGCAGAAAGCATGGAAATATTAGTGCTTAAAAGCTGAAATGTATTGTACTGAATGAATTCCAGCTGGAAAAGGGGCAGTGGACAGTGTGCTTGAAAGAAAGGATAAAAGACTTTTGGAGCACTTAAAGCCTGCATTCAACTTCATGATCTTCGTGCTTTTTCACTGCTGAAAATATCTTATAAAAGATAATCTTGATCAGCAATGGTCCCAGTGCGGATTTATTTAATTATGGTTAAAAGACTTTGCTATGATAACTGCCCCAGGCTCCCAGGGAGTGTAACTTACAGATACAGTCACACTTCAGCTTGTTTTATTGTTTAGTAAATCAAATATGAAGTCCAGCTCCTTCTAATTGTTTGCAGATGTATGACATTCTCCTTCCAGTCCAGCAGCACTAAGTATTTTATAACCCATGTGAAAGTGTGGAGACCTCTGGTTAAAACAATAACACGCTCTGAGGAGCTGAATTACTGACATCATGCTGGAGTGTGAGGGGCCTTCTGTTTGAACACCAGTGTCCACTCCCTTTAAACACAGAATATGGGGGTAGCACAGGCCAAACACACTCCTGGGCTTGGAGTTAATAGATATAAATGTACTGGTCCTGTTTCTGAAGTGCTGAGATAGAGCATTTTTATAACTACTAGTGTTTGGAAACATGTGGATGTTAAAGGTGTAGGTAGTAAAAATTTCCTGGGAAATTCTGAAGTGAGTGCCAGGAGCCCCCAAAATGATGCAAAGCTGAGGGGAGGTTATTCTGGAGGGAGATCTCTTATGCAGGAACTGTACAGAGCCTCAAGTGCTGTGCTTCAACTTCAACAACTTGGGCCTTAAATTCTGAGTTTATGACCTTAACTAATTCCCCCCGTCCCCATCCTGGGATAACTAGTTCCCACTTCACTGTCACTCCTAGATTTGGTCACCAAGGCAGATTCCCAGATGTGGCACAGGAAGGCATTGGGATGCCCAGACCTATTTATAAGGACATGTAGGACTAGGGGGAATGGGTTTCAATTGAAAGAGAGTAGGTTTAAATTGGATATTAGGAAGGAATCCTTCCCTGTGAGGGTGGGGAGGCTCTGCCACAGGTTGCCCAGAGAAGCTGTGGCTGCCCCATCCCTGGAAGTGTCCACTGTGAGAGTATCACTGTAACTGGGAGGAGCAAAAAACAGAGAAAGAAACAATTTTAAGCAAATAACTGAGTTGACTCACGCTCACAGACACTTTTTGCCTGATAAAACCCATAAATAGCTGCACTCAGTGCCTCATACAAGACTGAGTTGTTTTTTACTGTGATTTGAGTCTGCTCCTATTGCAGTCAAAGGCAAATCAGCCAATTAATTCAATTTTGTCAAGCCTAGTCTGCAAGAACATACTGGCTTTTCCTAGAATGTTAATGACACTGGAATGAAAAAAAAGGGACCAAACAAAGGTACCAAATAACCTGTAAACTTGAGAGGGGGAAAGAACTTATTTTTCTTGCCTTGCTCCCATGCTGGCAATACAAGCAATAAAGTAAGCAGGTTTTCTGCTCCTCAGCTAAGTGAGCTTCTGATATTTCTCCAGTCTGTTTATCACCCTTTGTGCTACTGCAAATGTGAAGGACAGGAGGGAGGCAAATTGTAATACAAGAGATCAATACTTTCTCATATGGCAGAGACATTTTTTTCCAAGGAGTTCTGCCTAGACTTGGTGGATGTTGGTTGCTTTTTTCCTTCTCTATAGCGGGAGGAAAGAAATGAATTTGTTTTCTGTGCTCTGGTTACTTTTCCCCTGCAAAATCATTTCAGGGCTCTCTTCATCGTAGGGCTCAGGGATTTTTTTGTTAAGTTTTCTGGTTCTTTTCAAAGTAACTTACCATACTCAAGCTATGCTTTTAATTCAAGAAGTTAATTAAGTGTGAATAAATCAAATAAGCCTACATTTTGCATCTCTAGAGTCCTTTGTTCTGTTAAGGAGGGAGGGACAAGGAGGAGCAGTTCACAATGTCCTTTTTCATACAGAAATCAGTTTATATTAAATATATATATATGTGAGGGATGTGCAAGTGGCACACAAAGGACACAAGAGGTGGGTGAGTGCAGGTGCCCTTGCCTGGCCCTGGCTGTGCCTCTGGCAGCTCTTCCCTGGCATCTTGGCCGGGGCACAGAAGGCAGCTCTGCAATGCAGCTCCTAATGAGCTCCACTTACCCTGCTTTGATTGCCCTCCCTGAGGGCTCCTGGAACGTTTGCAGGTCCAGCTCAGAGGGAACCAAACCTGGAATGCACGGCAGGAGGGCCACTAATGTGCCACAAGCACTAACGAGCATTCCAGCGTTCAGGGCCGGACTCCAGGGAGCCCAGAGCCCCTCAGAAGGGCATGGACTGGGAGTCTGGAGCCTCTGCACCAAGTTCTGATCTGCTCCTATGAGTCAGAGCTATTTGCTAACACAGAACCTAAAATACAGCTATAGTAACTCCTTAGGCTGAGCCCAGGAATGTGTTAGAGAGCTTTTTGTAACATATTGCATCACCCCAAGTTTTCCCCATTCTTGTATGTAAGGAGTACTTAAAAAATGCCTCAGGACTAGTTTGGAAAGAGCCTGAGGTGTGAGAAGTTCAGTTCCAGGGTTGTTCCTCTCTGGGCAAGACTATTTACAAGGACATGTAGGACAAGGGGGAATGGGTTTAAATTGAAAGAGAGTAGGTGTAGATTGGAAGGAAGGATTCCTTCCCTGGGAGGGTGGGGAGGCCTTGGCACGGGTTGCCCAGAGAAGCTGTGGCTGCCCCATCCCTGGAAGTGTCCAAGGCCAGGTTGGATGGGGCTTGGAGCAACCTGAGCTAGTGGAAGGTGTCCCTGCCCACGGCAGGGGGTGGGATTGGATCACCTTTAAGGTCCTTCCAACCCAAACCACTCTGTGATTCTCTGAACAGCACTAGACCTGTTTGGTTGGAGGACGGGGTGAGGAGAGAGGCTGTGACAGGAAAAATAAGGCCTTGTTATGTGGTTCAGGATGCCATCAGTTCATCCAAGTGCCAGCTCAGGTCATATGTCCATGTTTGCTGCAGAACTTCACGAAGTGGGGAGCACTTGTTTCCAGCAGGAGCTGGCAACAAGTGCTCCCCACTTGCTGAAGTTCTGCAGCAAACA